AGTAGTTATTCTTAGATAAACAAGACTTGGGAATAAAGTTGTTAACAGCCACGACTCTTATGGGGCAAACATCTGGTCTCTCCAAACCTCAATGAGAGGTGTGGAGGCAGCACTGCAGGTAGAGTCCACTGCTGTGCTGTATTTGGATCAAGTGCTTTTGACAAGACTCTTGAAACTTTGCAACCTCCTAGGACAGAATTTCTCACTGGGTTTCTCCTTTTCTTTAATTTGTGACTGTTTTTCTCGTAGAGTCAAATCCTTAGTTTCTTTTTTAAAACCCAAACAACCAACAACCATGAAGCAAGTCATTATAGTGGTGGGTTTTCTCAGTAGATTTATTGGGAATAAATTTTATTATTTTTGTTGTGTATGTCTTAGAAGAATCATGTAAATGGAAAGCAATAGAATCTATTTATTGTCAGAAAAAATGTAACTACTAAAGAATAATAAATAAATGTAAAAAACCCTGCTCTGAGGATGATGCTTAACTTCAGTCAGCCAGATGATAATCTTATTCTTGTTTTTGGTTTTTTTTTTTTTCAGAATAAATAATTCTGTCTCAGTAACACATCACCTTAGCTTGAAACTAAAAAACTCTTCTAAATATTATGATACTCTGTGTGAGTCAAAAATCTATTTTTAGGCTTAAAAGTACTTTGAAATATAGCAGCTTATGTTCAGAAATGGAGTTATTAACCATCTCTTTATAAACTGAATATAAAAAAGCTAAAAATCTCTATGTGTCTCTTTGCTTGAAGCATATTTCAGATAATAGGATCTCAGATGTGGTTCTTGAGGGACTAAAATGGTCTTGTTCTTATACCTTTGGGTATACTTAAAATGTTTTTAGACTTATGAAGAAGTTCAAACAGTGTTCCCTAGAGGAGAGAACTGAGTCTGGTCTTTCACATCCTGACTAAGTGAGGAATTCGAGGAGATGTTTCAGTGGAATAATTTCATCTCTTGAAGGGAGGAGCTTCCTTTCACTAGGGAAGTTCAGCAGGATGCTTATGATCCTAGACATTTTTGACATATTTTGTGATGCATCCTTTTTTTTTTTTTGCTATTTAATTGTTTTTTCCCCTCCAGTTGGATCTTCTCATCATCTCCACAATCAGCCTGCTTTGTTGTCTAATCCTGAATTTATGACTTTACTCATGCTTTCATTATTTATGCTTTTCAATTGTTTTTATACTAGGATATTTTACTGTGAGAAATCTTGTAGGGGTTGAAAATTAAGGGCATAAAGGTTTGTATTTGGATTGATTATATGTGAAATAAAGAAAAGTTCCTCAAATACTAAGGTAAAAACCTGTTAAGTGTCAGCAGCAGAGCCAAAATTGCATTTCAGTTAGTTAATTTTTATTTCAAATTTATGTTGTGGTCTTTGTATTTCCTTTGAAGTTAGTGCTTTTTCTGTTCCATTCAGTTTCCCCATTCCTAATCAGTAAATTTCAGATATGGATTATTCAAGTCTTTTGACAGTATGCAGGTATCTTTATAACCAAGTAGTCTAGATTATATAAAGTTCAGATCAGAGATCTAGTTTTTAATGAGAAAATAATAATTAAAATGCCCTTTTTCCCCTACTAATTTCCCTTAAGGTTGTAATGCTGAAGAAAATTTCTTAGAAACTAAAAGGGAGAATCAATTTTGTATTGCAAAGATTTTTTTATTGAATTTGTTGAAAATAAACCTTTACATTAATCTTTAGATCTCACTTCTAAAGACCCGGCTGCCATGACTGTAGAGCAAGCAAAAAATTCTGAGTATGGATTTTAGTGAAACTTTAAGGTTGGAATGTTTCATAAACAATATCATAAGTATTTCAGTAAAAATCTCTGTTCCATCTGCAAATAAACACAGGGAAAATAGTAACTCTGTCTCCCTTTAAAAAATAAAATAGCACAGTTTTATCCCTTGAAAGTGTATTAATCTACCCTTGATGTAGAATAACACTGAGCAAAAATAGAAGATGAAAATAGTTTTGATTTCAGGATAGCACTTGGACTCATTACAGTGTAGGGACTTCTTAGAATACAGCAGTTCAATATGTGCTTATTGAATCAATTATAAAATACATATTACAAAAAGTGTGTGTGTACTTATATGACCTGCCTCTCTGTAGTGAGACAATGAAAAAAAGCTTGTATTTTAATTCAAAGCGGAAAGTACATAGGGGAAAATCAACAGAGAAGGCTGTGAATTTCCTCAGATGCTTCAGTCAAAATACTTGTTACTGACCCAGCCCCTCTGTGTAAAATCGGTTTCAAATAATTACCTGCAGATCTATTACTAGATTGCAGCAGTTGCTTTATCATTAACCATATTGGACAAGATAATTTGGCAAAAATTTCAAGCACTAGTAGGCCGTGCTCATAAAACAGATGTTGTTTTCTGTCTTTGCTCTGATACTAGTTCTGCTTTATTGGTGACAAGATGGTTCTTTTGTACCTTATTTTAGCTTTTTAATTCTCTCCTGTATCTTTTTGTTACACTGAATTTTGTTCTTAAAATAATTTGTTCTAAAGTTTCCCTTTAATCTATTGATGAAATAAGTAGTTTTTACTTCTGAAATGTGATTTTTAGTTGTTTCTTTGAGGTTAGTGTGTTTATTGCTTTTTCTTTTAGTCTGTATTTCTAATTTCTAGTAACTGCTTGCTTTTGTGCACCCTTATCTTCAAGCGATAAATCACAGTTTCTTCCATATAACTTACTAATCACCTTTGTGGGAAATAATTATACACATTATGAAAGCTTAGCTTGATGATTGGAAGCCTAACGTTTTGTACTCTAAATTGATTTTTTTTCCCCTCTACATTTCTTTGCTTGCACTTTGGTAGTGACGTAGAGGTGTAAATAATGCTGCTAGTCTTAATTGTCAATTAGGCTTCTGTAAAATTAATTAAAATACAAGGGCTGCATAGTTGTAGCACAACTAGCTTGAAAATAGATTTTAAATTTTGGAATGATTATATAAATCAGGTGAAGAATAATAACTTTGAGTGTTAGTAAAGCTATTTGAATTGCTTTTAAAAGAAGCAGCACAGTATTTGAACACAGTAGAGATGAGACATTGTAAGAAGTCCACACTGTTGACTTTGCTATTCCAATGTCAAATTGCATTGTAAGTAGTATTCAATGTAACCTTTGTCTTTCGTAAAACTAACCAAAATGATACCATGTGATATTTTGAGCTAACCTTGATCCATCTGTCTCTTGGTCCTTTTTCTTTTTGATGAGTTTGAAGAGTTTCCCCGTTTTATCTGTAGCCTCCCCTTTCATGAAGGAAAATGTTTGTCATTCTTGCAGTCAATTAATTTCTAAAGGGCACAAGATTAAAACTCTGGGTACTCAGCTAGAAGTTGACATATATGTGTTAGTTCAGATTTGGAGTGTACATTTGAAATTAATTTCTTGATTCTCTTAACTCACTTTCCTTATAAGCCTTGTGCTTGTTATCCCTGAATGGAATACACTCACTTAGGTCTGAATGAAAGGTGCAAAAAGGTGTGGTGAAATCATTATGGACATTCAGCCAGGTAAGGTCTAGTTCAGAACAATCCCCACTATATATATGTATATTAATGGATGGGGAGGTTCTCAGCATCAATTAAATGTATGCATTGTTAATGCTTTATGCATTAAAATGGTTTGTGTATGCACATGTGGTAAGATCTTGGTGGTAAGATTTGGTGTCTGCAAATACAGGTGCAGCTGAAGTGAATTTGCTATAAATTGCATGATCTGATGCCTGTCAAAACACTGTGTGGTTTATATACAGTAGAATACATATCATTGCATGCAAAATTGCTTTGAATATTATTTGAATAATATTATTTTGATTTCTCCATGTTTCGTTACTTTTACTCTGTAAATTCCTCCCGTTTTGCACTTAATTGCTCGTGCATCAGTTAAGTTACTGAAATGTACTAGTCAGGTGGTCTTTCTTAAAGCACCTGATCCATTTAATGTGTTCAAATGGCTTTAAAGATATTTAAGAGATACACTATTTATGGAATGAACTGCCTGTAGTTCCTTTTCAAAAGTCCTAAGCTCTAGTGCTGTTTCTCAATTTTTCTCCCTTGAACCCTTGGGAATTGCATTTGGTAATCAGTTGCTGGATGTTAAAACCACAGGAGATAGGTGTTTGTTTTTCAAATTAGCTGTAGCATTCTTCAGTTCACTCCATTTACCTGGTAGCTGTGTTACTTAAAGAAGCATGGGAATAGCAGGGCAGAGTGGTAGATCCTAAAGCTTTTTTTACAGTTGTAGTGAATGAGAAAATAGTTTGTGTCTGACTTTCACCTAAAAGGGGCTGTCTTTTGTTTGATAAGCAATGGGAGAAGAATAATTTGCTAAAATTGAAGACGTAAAAAAAGTTGAAAAATGTATTAGTGGGTTTTTGCTCTTTTTCTGGTCTCTATGAAGATGGTGTACTAGTAATTTATATTAACTGTAAATTGTGCAGGCAGTATGCATTTTGTCAGAATTTAAGGGAGGGGTGAGTGAGATGAGTTACTGTTAACCCTTTCCAGAAAGGGTCTGCCAGTAGTAAATACAATGTGTACAGTTCTGATATGAAAATTCTTTGGCAAGAATGCATGAGGTTGGTTTCAAATAATTATTTTAGAAGACTCAAATATACGTTATAGCAAGTAGCTATCTCTTTTTTCTTAAAGTAGCTAGGAAGTTTCAAATGAGCAGTCTCTGCAGGAAACTCAGAGCCTGGTAGGGGAGTGCCAACATGGAGAAAGTTTCTTGGATGAGGGCCAATGTAACAAATGCAAGCAGGCAAGCTTTGTGTCCAGACTTGTGTTTCAGCTTATGCGAATGGATTTAATGTCCTTAGAGATCAGGCACTGTGGCATAAATTGCAGCAAACGTACTACAGTACAATGTGCTTGGTTTCATTCGCTGTTGTTTTTGATGTTGGAGGATTAAGGGGAGGGGAAAGGATCAACTACCCAGGATGCTCTGTTTGGAGGAGTAAGTGAATTTCATTGTCGTCAGAACTAGATTGCCATATGAGTTCTGAAAAGCGTTTGGCTCCTGAGGATAACTGCTCTAAAAATAGATTTGGAGGAGAGGTTTCTCTTGGGTCCAGTTTCAGGTTCCAGCTGAGCTGGCTTTAGGAAGCTTGTTTGCTCCTGTTGCAAACAGGAGGATAACCGTGAGGATATTTCTTATTCTGCCTTCAGCATTAATTTTTGGAAATACTGACACACTCGCTCTGTTGGTGGAAATCGAGTACTAATGTTATGGCTGACGACACAGGTATAATCCTAACCTCTTTTTTTTTTTTTTGTGAGCAAATGGAAAATGTGTACTCGCAAATACCAGTTATGTCTGATTTTGTAATCAGCAAAATAACTGGCTTGCTGTTGTATGTTTTCTTGCCAGCTTGCTGTCTAGTCTGTGTTACAGACTGCCTCTGTTCTCTTTGATTACATGTTCTCTGGACTAGAGGTATTCCATGTGTTTATGGCTGGTGGTTAATTGTAAATAATTTTTTGCCTAAAAGAGCATACATTAGCGTAAGAGATACTGTTTTGTCTTCAAATATCTGACTTCAAAATTATTTTTAGAGTATGTAAAATTGCTAGGTGTCTTGATGGTAAGCTGAAGTAAAAAGGTTTTTATACATTTTTTGTTAGATGTGACTTAATGGGGGGTGGGTGAGGTGTAGGATTTTATAGATTTGCTGTTGAGCAGTAGACCGTGCTTTAAGACTTTCTGATGTCTGCATAAAGACATCTGGTGGTGTAAGCACAGGCTTACCAGATATGGCAAGTGACCTACTTCTGACATGGCTGCCAGCATGTGCAGGGAAAGGGCTTGAGTTGAGAATTAACTGTTTGGAATGAGCTCTGAGCCAGCTTCAGTCCTTGTAGTGTTTTGTTCTGACCCTGCATGTAGCATTATTTGTGCAGATCGTGGGTAAATTTTTTGTTACATAACCTCCATTTATATAAAAGTGTTGCGTGATCAAGCTGCCGTGGTTGAGTTGTTATTCAAGAGTTTTGTAAATAATTTTGCTTTAAGGTAGAAACCCACAGCATAAAAATATGCTTTTGCCATTATTGTGAACTACGTTCTTATAGCAGAACCTAATTTTGAGGAATTTGCATGAACAGTTGTTTATACTGGAAAAAAATATAAATACTTGTGCTTGATTACTTAAATAAGTTGTATTTTCTTTCATTTTTCTGTTCTTCTGATAAGTAAAGCTCCTTTCTTCAGAGGCAAATAGTAGTAAATGGTAGAAAACAGTAAGGCAAATGACTGAAATGCAGTAAGATCCTCTTTCCTATTTGCTCTAGAACTAAGTTGCAATCTGGAATAATTGAAACTGCTTTTAACATAAGGGTTTAATTTTAAATACATACAAAGCTTTCATTGACTGCCTTGCTACACAGGTGTAGTGAAGCCCTGCTGTTACATACTGTAGTTGTTTATTTCTCAGTATTAACAGTTCAAGAGTACTGTAAGTAATTTTCATACAGTGGAGTATATTTCTGAATGCAGATGCTGTTTGTCTGTCCCTCAATTTTTAGGTTACCTGTATATTTCCCACCAGAAAGATGTTACAATGAGCTGTGTATATGGACCCTGCACATATGTAATTAGAGGACTGTGCAGTAGCAAATGATATATGCCTGATATGAGGCTAAGTTGCCTCAGTTTCTCTCCGAATATTACTGGCATTTTATGTTTAATGTAGAAAAGAGACTAAATACTTGCTGTTTGATCTTTGAAGGGAGTAGTGTTAATAAAAGATTTTTTTTTTCAGTAAAATGCTGAGCTGAGTAGGAGTTGATGCAAGTCAGTGGGTTTTATATTGCTCTGAACTTGGTATAAAGCACAATGAGTGTAATAAAATAGTATTTTATTACAGCTGTAAACCTGCAGGCAAGCAGGGTCAGAGTGTATATATATATATATATAGTTCCTGTTACAAAAATAAGTCAGTTGCCCATGTCTCATTACTTACCTTTCAGATACACCATTTTATTGTAAAAACAATTGTGTTTGTTTAGCTTTTGAGAGTATTTTTATCTTTTTCTATGATCAGTGTTGATAAATACATCAAACATTACTTTCAGTTAGTATAAAGACAACTTATCACAATATTCATGGCAAAGTTTCTTGCTTCATTCTTTAAATCATGTAAAAAATAGTTCTGTTTGAATAACTGGGCCTGAATGAATATTCTGTTTGAATAACATGTGGCTGAGCAGGCAAAAGTTGGTTTTTAGAATGAAGTTGAATAGACTCGAAACTGCAGCCAAGTGCCACCCTTGCAGCAGTAATGTCAGGGGGCAGAAGAGCAGACCTTGGGCTTTGGAGGAAAGCCACAGGCATATGTGTCTTTTTGGGTACATATTTATTTATTTTTAGATACATAAATATACACATCCCTCTCTCACTAAAACAATCCTAAAACAACAGTCCAAGCAATTTATGTCTTCTCTGGTGATGACGCCCATTTGAAACTTGCTACACATATGCCGGGTCAAGGTCTTTTGCAGTCATTTGTTTACAACTACACGTAATTTTTTAATAGATATTTACTTTCCATATGTCCAGTTATAAATTAATCCGTAATTTGTGTTATGTCTTTGTGTCATCCTTTTACTTCTATGTCCCATAGGACTGAAATTCTAGAGTTGTTTAGCATGGAGTGAATCTCTGCTTAATTCTAAGCATCAGCGAAAATGGTTTTATTTGGTAAAATGTTCTGAACTTGAAGTCTTACCCTTAACATAGTTAAGGTTTTAGAGTTTTCGTAGGCTATTTGAATTGTCACGTCGGTTCTGTGAGCTATTTCAACTAGTTTAGAAACTCGACTTAGGAGAAATGCTTTTCTGCTGGCCATACTGGCCTCTGGTGGTAGTCTGGGAACTGCGGGGAACAAATGCAAAGCATCTCAAAAATGTGAAACTGTGTAAATACACATCAGAGGGGAGCAAGGCAGAATTTTCAGCTAACTTGTAAGACAGCTTAGATGGGGGCTTCTGGTGTTGTGTTGGTTATGAGGCTTTTGCTTAGACAATCATCAAGCTTCTCACAGTATTTCACAGGGAAATGGAAAATGAGTAAAAGTAATGAAGTTTAAAAAACCCAACCAACCAAAAAAATGCCACACAACAAAACCCACAAAAAAATTATTGCTCAAATGTCTTGTATTCTGTGTAATCGTGAGCACCAAATTTTATAATTGTATCCTCAATAATAATTTTCTAGCCCTTACATCCATTTTTTCTTCTTGTTTTATTTTAACAGAGACTAAACATGGAGGAGGCAAGAATGGAAAGAAAGAAGGCCTCTCTGGAAGCTCATTTTTCACCTGGTTTATGGTAATTGCTTTGCTGGGAGTCTGGACATCAGTAGCAGTTGTCTGGTTTGAACTTGTAGATTATGAAGAAGTTCTAGGTAAGATTTCTAAATCTCAAGATTTTTCTAATAATGTTGTGATATGCATTAAGTGAATGCTGTTTTATGTTCTTAAATAGATGATTTGTCTAGTGTTTGCAAATTATCTACATGATAAGAATAGGCAGTGTAGTTTAAAATGTATGTTTTAATGCTGAACGCTATTGTGATTGTTAAAGTGAGGTTCTCATAAAAGTGTGCTAACATCCTGTAGGATGCCTTTGTAACATGCCTACTGTAGTTCATTTGAGGGGTCAGCTAAATATGCAGTTTCAATTTAAGCTCTCAGAAACTCACAGCAGTGGTTGAAAGTGGGCAGCTGATGTTAGCTCTGCTCTGATGGACTGTGATGCCTGTAGGGTCAGGACAACTGATCAGTCATCCTCTCATGAGTGAGATGTTGAATGACCTCAGTTTTAAGCTTAAATTGTATCTGAATATGACAAATTTAAGACAGTATTGTTAATATAATATTTAAGGTTACAAATTAATATCTCAAATATCAAGATGTATGTCCATAGGTACAGATGTTTTCCCTGATGTAGTATTCAACATGCACTTTTGCACCTGGTCACTTTACAAAATTTACAAATCTGTTGGTACATGTTTTTTTTTTGATCTGGACTGATTTTTTTCAGAAAAAAATTCTTCTGATTTGAAGCTTAACTGGGTCTAGTAATGCAAATAATGTTTTTTGTATTTTTGCCATGCATGCAGCCAAAGCAAAGGATTTCCGTTATAACTTGTCAGAGGTCCTACAAGGTAGGATATTAGAAAAATAAGCTTGCTTTACAGTCCCTTGGCTGAAAGTTTGGTTTACTTTATTATGGTTTTAATTTTTTTTATAAGAATTACTCTTCTTCTGCAATTACATGAAGTTGCAGCCATTTCTCATCTGTCTCATTCTTCATGGTTTTGAAGATGATACCACCCTTATTTCTAGAGAGCTATATTTTGGCACCAGTCTATTGTGTTTATCCATAAACAGATATGGCTCCTTTCTAATGGGTTGCTTCCATACAATGGTGATGAACATATTTTTCTATTCTAGACCCAAGTCTGAATTTTTTCTTCCACAAAACTATTTTGTAATTTTCTAAGTACCATATTAAGAACTATGTTTCATTTATTTTCATAGCAAGAAAGTTCTACTTTCATTTAGAGAATGACAAGTGTAGTAAACTGTCAGACTATAAAGACACAAAGTTCTGCAAGCTCTGCAGAGTTCGATCCTGTTGAAAGTTGTGTCTGAATTTTATCAAGCCTATAATTACATAACTTGTTTGGTGGTCTCAGGACACTTCAAATCCTGGATACCATGCTGAATGTTAATTTTGAATTTTTGAATTTAAATTAATAGGAATTTTCTGTGCTGAAAATTCTCTTTTAATAGAAACTGAGTTCTCCTTTTGTATATACTTAGCACTAATAGAGCTTCAGTTTCAAAAACAAAAAGTGAGAAAACTGATTTGTTAGTCATATATGAAAGGATGGACAACTTTTTTTGTCTGCATGGAAGGTTATACAATTGTTGGTAAAACTTGTGAATTGGTTTTCCTTTGTCTGGGAAGTAGGCTGCTTACTCTTTGTTAACTTGGCACTAAAAACTATGTACTTATATATACCTATCTATTTTCCAAGAATTTAGAATTGCAAGAAGCATGTAATCAGAAAACAAATGGTGATTATTTTACAAATTTTTGTTTTATTATTTTCCCTCAAACATGTTGGATGCTTCTCTGAACTTAAATTTTATTTTGAGCAAAGCATGTCAATGTCAAGTATATAATTACAGACTTGCTTTAAATTTACAGGCTGCAAAATCAATGTGCAGGAGAAAGACAAATTTGTGTTTGGTCTCAAGTGCAGGAAATAGAGAAAGAAACTTGAAATATCTGTAGTGTTTCCCAGGAAATTTAAAATGTGGTTAAGAATATTACGGCTAGATTGTTAAAAAACATATAGTAGCAACCTACCATTGACAGTCAACCATCTCACACTGAAAACTGTGCTGGACACAGATGACCAAATCCCTAATTGCCTTTTCTTCCTCTCTTTCCACTTCTAGGCAAGCTTGGGATATATGATGCTGATGGAGATGGAGATTTTGATGTGGAAGATGCTAAAGTATTGCTAGGCAAGTACAAATACAGGTGGAACAAGCTATATAATTTAGTGGCATGTTGTTCATATTTGGCTTTTTTATTTTTAAGTCAAAACAATATTTCTGATTTGTTTGCTAGCTTTCTTCTAGCTCAAAAACTTAAATTGATTTCATTGTGATGGGCTTTTTCCTTAATGCGAGTTGTAGGATTGGGTGTGTAGCTCACAGCAATTTTTGTTCTTTTTCTTCTAATATAGCAATGTTAGTGGAAAGTATTTAATTACTTACAGTAAGATTTTGAAATTAGGTGGTTGATGCTACTGTATTGAATGTTGAAAGATGGTTGTGATTATCAATAAATTTATCAGATGCAGGACCAAAGGTGATTCAAGAATGAAAACATTGTTTGTGTTAGCATGTTAAGTTAGGTCCATTTTAAAATTACTTTAAACGTGCCTTTGTACTTCTTAGATGACTATTTGTGTAGTGTATTTTTGTATTGTCTTTCCTCTATTCTGAATTCTCCACAAGTCTGTTCATTTTCTTTGCCCTTCAGAAACAGTGTATGACATGAATTTTTTACCTTCTCTGGCATTGAAACACTGGGTTTAGGCTTCTGTTCCTTGTAATTTGTGTCTTTCTGCACATTGTGTATCTTCAAAGGAAAATTTCAATCTCTAGACAAGCTTTATGATATTGTTGTTTACTTACATCTTTTAAAGCAATGCCTTCTTCAGCTTCAGTCAAGCATTGGATAGATACTTCTTGCATACCTGATGGTAGAAATTTTACTTAAGTTTACTTTTCTTTAGTTTTTCTTTAGTTGGTTTCTTCAAATTTAAACCTCTGCTGAGCACACAAACCTGTAAAGTTAAACAAATGAACAAAGCAACAAACCCCCCAGCATTGTTACTAATTGCTTGAGCAGAGGACAAAATGGAATATACCAAACTAGTTAAAGTTATCAGAAGTACATTAGGATGTTATAGTTTGCTATTTCAAATTCATTCTCTATAAAAATCGGCTTATCATAATTTTATTTTTGCCTACTTTTATCTGAAGGCATAAGCAAGTCTTTGGGAGGATGTGTGTTCATTTGTTTAATCTCTTCATAGTTTATACAAAACTCATGTAATCAACTGAATTAGTTTGCAGTGGTGTGAATGTGAGAGTCACTCCAAAGAATCTCCAGCACTCTGAATGGCTACAGAGCTACAGTTTGTGTGTTAATTATAATTTGTGACTAAGATGATACTTGGTATAGTTATAATCCTAATTTTTCCTCTGTCTATTATGTAGTTTGTAGAAGCTGGATATCCTTTTCTTGACAGTCACATACAGGCAGAAACATTCTGCTGCTTTGTTCCATCTCTGTTTTATGCAGCCTGATATAGCCGGGAGTTCTGCCAGTACATGAAAGTGTTTCTATTATAAGCTTGTCTTATCATGCATTTAAACCTTGTACTTCAAATGTGACCTTAAAAGGTCACAGATCAAAATTTATTTTTATTATTTTTAAAAAGTTGCTTAGAAATAGGAATTTCTCATTTAAATTTGAGAATATTTTTTCAGTATGAAAGAAATTTAAATTTTTACATTTTGTGACACTGAGAAAATTCTGAACATAAAAATGTATTTTTTCTAATAACTAGTATGGTATATTATTAACTGAACTTTCCTGTAGGTTACTGTGCTTGTTTGCATTTAAAATTTAATACAAAATAAAAAATGAGCACCATAATGCAGATTGAAAGTATTTCATTGATACAGAAACTAGAAGACTGGATTTTCTCTTGAAGAATTTGTCTTCCAGAATTAAGTCATTGTTGTAAAGGAAACTGAATAGTAAGCCTACTTTGTGAATATTGAGTGCAAAGCTCCTTTTATTTATGAGAAATTTGTTAGTACATGTGCTGTATTTGAAGGCTTATTACTTTCTGGGATTTTTTTTTTTCTGGGTCAGACTGCCATAACAACATAATTGGTTTCTCCAGTACAGAAGAAGTCACTGCAGTTTGGTGTTTATGATAGGAATATCTTTTAAGTTTAAATTAATTTAATTAACGGTTTGAGAAATGCTTCTACCAGCATGAGTTTATTTTGTATTTCAAATAATGGTTTAGTAGCTGATAAATTAATAATTTTCTGTACTATTTGCCATACCGAAATAGTAGAACTAAAATTTATTATTTTATTTCTTGTTTCTATAAGGTGTGATAGAATCAGTTCTTTTTTTATTTGTTGGAATCAAAGTGGGTTTCATCACCCCCTCCAGTCAACCAACCCCAAGTAATTATGCAGTATTGTAGCATTTATTAAAAAATTATCTGTGGTGGAATTACGAACTTGTTGAAGCTAATCTGCCATTATCTTGCAGATTTTGTTTTTTTCATAGATGTTTCTGAGGTTCTGTTTACAAAATTCCTCCTGATAATGGGAAGAGAGGCTTCGTACTCTGCTCCTTTGGGGGCTGGTGTTTGCAGTACTTTGCTTCCCAGTTTTTGTTTACTTCACTCTGATTGTCCTCAGAAGGGTGTTATTCTTAGGGGGAGTGCTACACATCTGACCCTGCTTTAAATCAGTACAGCAAAACAGTGGCTTTAGTGGTATTTCCAAAAAAGTGGCATGTATAGGGGTGCCAGTGTCTGTCGTAACAGTGACTTTGGAGCCAAGCTGTTTCTTTTGTACTTCTGTCCCTTTTAACAAGCAGCAATATCCTGAGAAATTCTTCTTAAATGGTTGCAGTAGTTAGTACAGTTTTGGAACTGCAAACAGAGAAAACAATCCCTTTATTGTTTTTGTGCATTTAGTTCAGAGTAGTCCAGCTATGCAGAAAATGGCAAAACTCCATCCTCATGTATCTACAGTCAAACAGTAATAAGTAAAAAATAATTTCCTCTGGTTCACCTACAGTAGAAAAATATATTTGCAGGCAGTCATGCTGAGATTGCACATTCAAAAAATCTGTAGTGAGATAATGGGTGTTAAAAGAACGCTTTTTCACAGTTCAGCTGTTCAGGATGTTTCATGCTCTTCCCTATTTTTCTCGTGTTCTGTTGTAGCACTTTCAAAAAGTAAAGGTTGGCTTGTGCTCATTTTCATAAAAAGAGGTGTTTAAAGGAGAAGAAAAGCTCTGTCTTGTTAAACGCATGTAGGGAAGTTCTGTACCCTACTGCTTGTGGTAACTATTGAACAGACAAATGTTTTGACTCCTTGGTTCACTTGGATTTAAATTGTCATGTTAAGACTCCTCTTGAAATAAAGTAGCTATATCTTGTGAGTCCCTGCTTTAGTAGGGTATGGCTGCTCTGCTTTTGTTACCATTTTCAGATACTTGTTGTGATGCTTTTGTGAGCTTATCAGTTTTACTTTGAAAAGAAGTTCTTGATTATGGGGGTGAATAAAGGTGAAAAATAGAGTATTAATCAGTTGGTGGTTTTTTTGTACTCTTTCTTAGAAAAAAAGATAAACATGAAATCCTGTGTTTTTTTCCTTTAACTCAGGCTGTAGTGCTGTCTGAGGGTTTTTTTGGTTTTGTTCTTGAGTTGATTATTTTGGATAATTTTTGCAAAGAAAGGGTTTAGGCTTTTTTGTTTGGTGCTTTTTTGACAAAGACTGTAAGACACATTCTTCCAATTTCTGTGGCTCCCTTTGGAGTACTAGTATTTTCAAAGAAAATATGCTGCTGTACTCCATTTTATAAAGGTAATTGCCCAAAAATCTTATTCTTGACTTAGTGCAAGAACAGGAGCATCTATATGATTCTGTATGTATGTACAAAAATGGCTTCTAAAGCCTGAGGGAACAGTGTGTTGGATTATTTCTATTATTGGGGGTTGTTTGTTTTTTTGGGGGTTTTGTTTTTGTTTTTGTCTTTTTTCCCCATTTTTTTTTATATGAGATTCTGACAGACTAGAATGACACAAGTATTAATTCCGTATTTATAAATTAGATTGTACTTTCAGGATTTTTAGATTCAAGTTTCCATTCTTCTATTGAGATTTCGTACTTCAATAAATATCCTTACTTTAGTATATGTCTTTACATCTTGTATGATCCAGATTTTGAAAACAAATTAGAATAACTGAGTGCTGTGCATAAAGTTGTTTATAAAATTTAATTTTTATAGAACTAAGCCATGGAAGAAGTTGGAGAGGGATATTTATAATACCTTGATTGCCTCCTGGATTCAATCTGTCATTTTTAAACCTTTGGGCTATCCAGTGAAAAGTTAAAGAGAATGGCTGGTCACTCAAGTAGAGGTTCTGGACATCCAGGTACAAGGATGTGGAATATTATGGACTTGGAAGTTTCTTCAGAATTATCATTGATAATTTCACTATGTGCTGTAAGAAAAACATGTTGAAATGTGTTAAATGTCTCTGCCAATAATCTTCTCTATCTTGAATGTTTCATTAACCTGCATCTAATATTGCTTTATAATCTGCATGTGCAACATGTTCACTTAATTTTATGTTTCAACAATCTGTCTTCACCTTTAGCTCACTTTTCTGCTTGTCTTTTCAACACAAATGAAGGTTTGTTCTGGTTAGAAGTGGGGGAAATTCCTTCCTCTGCAGCTTTAAATCGTACCAGTAATTGTTTGTTGGTGCCTGGTCATTCTGTTCTGCTTTTCCTAGAATGGAAAATTTGAAATGTTACTTAGTAACAACTGTAAAACAGTGATTTTAACTTAAAAAAAACCCCAAAAAAATCTAGGCAAGACCTCCCACAAAACAGGAGGGAAAAAAGCATTAGCCATGGCTTATTTGTACTTTACAAGTACCATTTAGATCAGTTGATCTTGTAACATAAAATAGTAACTATTAGTTCCTAATATTAGGGACTTCAGCAGCGATGATCTCACTCTTTGCTGTTCTGTCCTTCTCTGCTTTGGCTCTTTACCCTGCTTTAGATTTTCTGTATAACAAACCTTATGCCTTGTATTGGCTACCTATTCATTATTATCTGGTGTTCTGTATATTCTCGGGTGTGGAAATTATTCCCGAGGATCAAGTACATCATATAGAAAA